CCCAGGCCGGCGGGGGGGGGAGGAAGGCCCGCAGTGGCGGAGCTAGGCCATTCCGCACTATACCCCACAGGCCCGGCTGGCAGAGGGGACCCCAGGGTTCACCCTGCACCCCCAACCCCAGTCTCCGAGCCCAACAACGCGCGGATGGCTCCCGATTCCTCAGCTCTCACCATAGCTGAACACCCCGCCGCCGCCGCCTGCTCGGAGAGAAAGGGGAAGGGGCGGGGCTGACCTTTACAACTACTGCCGGGTGACGGCGGGCGCGGCCAATGGCGGCGCAGCTGGGGAGTCCCGGCTCCGCCCCTTCCAGCCCCGCCCCAACATCGTGAGTAGCGGGGCGGTACTGCCCTCCCAGCCCTGTAGTTCTCGCAGCTGTCTTCCGGCGGTCCCCGAGATTACTTTGGTCGGCCTCATCCCGAGCTGAGCAGCTGGGGAAACTGAGGCACGGGAGAGGCAGTTTACCAGACACGGCATAGTGAGGACTCAAATTCGTCTATTTAGTCATTTGTTCGTTCATTCAATCTTTGCAGGTCGCCCAGTTCGTGCTACTCTGTTCTGGGGATGGAGATGAGTTGAGGATTTTCAAAGATGAATCAATACGGCCCCTGGCGTGGAGGAATTTAAAGGTCGAGGTGGGCGGGGAGAGGCGGGGTCAACTATAAATCCAACTCCATAAACGTTCCAATGGAGGCAGCATGTGGCAGGGGGAGGAGCATTTATGCCTTTTTTTAGCGAACCTGACCCAGTTTCAGATTCTTTTGTTGTTGTTTTTTTGCTATATCTTTATTGATCTCAGAGAGGAAGGGAGAGGGAGAGAGAGATAGAAATATCAATGATGAGAGAGACTCATTGATCAGCTGCCTCCTGCACATGGGGATCGAACCCGCAACCTGGGCATATGCCCTTGACCAGAATGGAACCTGGGACCCTTCAGCCCGCAGGCTGACGCTCTATCCACTGAACCAAACTGCCTAGGGCCAGTTTCAGATTCTTGCTCTGTTGCCTGGTGCTAGCTGAGACTCTGAGACTCGGCAAATACCTTCCTTTCTCTGAGCCTCAGCTTTCTCACTGTGAAATGGGGTATTTATGAGGATTAGGCAGATAACACTTAAAACTCTTCTCACAAGACCTGATGTGTAACAATTGATCAAAATACCATCCGTATTAATGCTCCCTCCCAGTGGAATGCACACTTGAGTTGGGCCCTGAAAGTTAAAGGGGAATTCACAAAGCAGGAAGGGAGGGTACTCCGGCTTTCAGACTGGGCAGTTTCATTGTTTCCCTAACCAGCAGGCAGGAATCAATGCTCCAGTGTCACTCCATTGCCATTAACAACGACACACCCACACTTCTTAGAGTACTAGTTAATGCCAGGTTGCCCCCTTGTTGCTGTCAGGTGTCATCTCGGGGAGCCTTCTCCCACCCCCTTCTGTATACCCTAGCCTTGGAATAAACTGGCACAACCTCCCGTGTCCCAAGTTTTCTGTGCAATCCTCTCTTTAGCTCCAAACATCCCGAGTTAAAATGTTGTCTCTATAGCCAGCCTGGAAGTTCTTAGGGGGCAGAACCATGCCTGATACATGATTTCGTTTTTCTAGTCTCCAGACACAATATGTGAGTGCTTGTTGGATGAATGAATGAGCCTTGTCCCAGACTACAAGAAAGAATTTTAGGCCCTAGCCTGTTTGGCTCAGTGGGTAAAGCATCAGCCTGCGGATGAAGGGTCCTGGGTTCGGTTCAGGTCAAGGGCACATGCCCAGGTTGTGGGCTCCATCCCCAGTAGGGGGCGTGCAGAAGGCAGCCCATCAATGATTCTCTCTCATCATCGATGTTTCTATCTCTCACTCCTTCCCTCTCTGAAAAAAATAAATAAAAAGTATTTTTTAAAAAAAAGAAAAAAGAATTTTAGGAAGTGGAGAGATATGGGGAGGAGACGGCAGAAGGCAATCATGGCCTGGATTCGTCTTAAATGGAAGTCGAATAGTGCTCAGGGCCTTTGCTGTCTTATTTCCCAAATGGTTAAGGTTCTATTAGAGCTAATGATTGTGTACATCTTTTCTGGACTTGAAGTCATCTGTGACTTCCACTCCTCTTACATGCTGCCACATCCAATCCATCAGCAAATTCTGTAGCCTCTACCTTCAAAATATACCTGACCTCTTCTCACCACTTAAAAAAAAAAAATCCTCACCTGAGAATGTTTATTGATTTTAGAGAGAGGATGGAGAGGGTGGAGAACAACATCGATGTGAGAAACATCAACCGGTTGCCTCCTATATGCGCCCAACCTGGGATTGAACCCACACCCTAGATATGAGCCCTGACCAGAAATTGAACCAATAACCTGTTAACGGACAACACTCCAACCGAGCCACACTGGCCAGAGCCCCACCACTCATTGGCACCTGTCTGGTCTGAGCCACCATTGACTGTCACCTGGATTATTGGTGTTGCCTCTTAAATCACCTACTTTGGCTCTTGCTCCCAGGTGTTCTCAATATGGCTGCTAGAGGGACCCTTTTTAAAAAAATATATATTTTATTGATTTTTTATAGAGAGGAAGGGAGAGGGATAGAGAGTTAGAAACATCGATGAGAGAGAAACATCCATCAGCTGCCTCCTGCACACCCCCTACTGGGGATGTGCCTGCAACCAAGGTACAGACCCTTGACCGGAATCGAACCTGGGACCTTTCAGTCCGAAGGCCGATGCTCTATCCACTGAGCCAAACCAGTTAGGGCTAGAGGGATTCTTTTTACACATGCCACTGCTCTGCCCAGAATTTCCAGGGCTGTCCCATCTGGATTAAGACCACATCTTTTCCTCAAAGCCGTACAGCATCTCCTCCACTTCCACCTCATCTCTTCTCACTCTTGCTCCAGTATGGCCTTGCAGTTTCTGGAATACACCAAGCTTGCCCTGCCTCTGGGCCTTTGCGTGGTTCCCTCCTCCACGTCCTTCAGGTCCCTAATCAGTGTCACTTCTAAGGGACATCTCTGTTGACCACTGTATCTACGGTACTCACTCTCGGGCACTGCATGGTTGCTGTTGTTTTCCATCTCTGACGTAGTATAGTACCGACTTTTAAATTCTGCCTTCCCGGCTGGAATGGAGGCCCACAGCTATAGGAGAAACATGATTGCATTCACCAGTTTATTTGGAGGTTACTTCCTTACTTATAAAATGGGCATTTCTGACTTAAAGTTCCTCCTGACCAGGATGTTCTGGGGCTATGAATTTCTGCTGTCTTGTGGCCTGCTTGATTTCTTCCAAGGTATGGAGCTGAAAGACAAAAGCGTGCTTCGCCTGTCCCTAGGTTTTTTTCAGCACCTATTTCCCACTGTAAGAGCCTGTATCTTATTTTTATTTATTTATTTAAAATCCTCTCCCCAGGATATTTTCCCATTGATTTTTAGGGAAAGTGGAAGAGAGCGGGAAAGACAGAGAGAAACATCGATGTGAGGGAAACACACGACTGGTTGCCTCCTGCACGTGCTCTGACCAGGGCCGGGGCTGGGGAGGAGCCTGCAACCCAGGTACATGCCCTTGACCAGAATCGAACCCGGGACCCTTTGGTCCACAGGCGACGCTCTATCCACTGAGCCAAACCGGCGAGCGCTAAGAATCTCTATCTTGATCACCCAAGATTAGGCAGCATCATAGGCCGGTATATTTTTCTTCTTCATTTAGCAATAATCGCCCCTCAGATAAACCTCATTGGCTACCAGACTGCACTGCGCAAAACTTGGCCTATTTTTTTTTTCCAAAATATATATTTTATTGATTTTTTACAGAGAGGAAGGAGAGGGATAGAGAGTTAGAAACATCGATGAGAGAGAAACATCGATCAGCCGCCTCCTGCACACTCCCCACTGGGGACATGCCCGCAACCAAGGTACATGCCCTTGACTGGAATCGAACCTGGGACCCTTTGGTCCGCAGGCCGACGCTCTATCCACTGAGCCAAACCAGTCAGGCGAAGCTTGGCCTATTTTTTGATCTGCAGACACAGTTCAATGAGAAATACTCAAAGCAACCAAACAAATCCCATTTCATTCATGACTGACCTTTATTAAAGAGTACTATTCTATGAAAAAGACCCAAGTTGGTCTAAGGCCCATTAATGAAACCCCTCCGCAGCAGCCGAGGCACCTAATCCTGGCACTAGAGTCGCCCTTGACTGCGCCCTACCTGCACCCCAATCGTCCCCATCTCAGACTGTGGCTTCCTACCAGGAAATGCCTCTCCAGTCGGGTCCAACCTCTCAGCCCCGAGGGCCTCGCCCTTCCTGCTGGGATGGTGGCCAGAGTCATCTCCTCTCCTCACCCCCACCCCCGCCTGGCCCAGGTGACTGCTACACCTGCGGGGGCCCTCACACCCTCAAGTCCAAAGGTCTTCACTGTCTTATCAACAAGATACACTTTAAACGTCTTTCAATTCTCCCGGTCACTGTGTACAAGGGTCACTGTGCACCAGGCAGAGGCCACCTCCTCTCAGCTCAGTGCGGTGGCGTTCAAGGCTCTCCCAACCCCCGTCACTCCCGGGCACAAGAACCACTACTCATCCCTCAGCTTGAAGGTTTCTCCTCCAAGAAGCCTGCCCGCCATTCGGCAGGCACAGCCGGTGCCTTCTCCTGCGGCGGCCGTGCTCCCTCCGTCTGGGCAGGGATGACCCCCGGAGTCCGGGGCTGTGCCCGCGCCAGCCCCTTCCAGGGGGAGCGGAGTGAATCTGAGGTCGGACCCGGAGCAGAGCTGGCCGAGCGGGCGCCGAGCCCACGCCATGGCCCGGAATACGCTGTCCTCGCGCTTCCGTCGGGTGGACATCGACGAGTTTGACGAGAACAAATTCGTGGACGAGCAGGAGGAGGCGGCGGCGGCGGCAGGCGAGCCAGGCCCGGACCCTAACGAGGTGGATGGGCTCCTACGGCAATATCCTTCCCCGGCGCGGCGGCTCGGGCTCCCCTCGGCCCAGCGCTCCCACTTCCCTCCTCCCGACCCCTCAGGCTGACTCCCCACTCCTCTTATCCCCGGCCCCCACCGGCCAGTCTCCCAACTCTCTTCCGACCTGGCTCCCCCGCGGGCAAGGTTCCCTGAGCCCGAATAGCCCCCTCGTCCCTCTGATCCGCCTCCGCACCCCCTCGTTCCTGGCCCCCGCCCCCGGAGTCTCCCTCAGCAGCTCAGCCCCACGCGGCCCCTGCGCCCCGGTGGGCCGGCTTGCTCGGCGGCTCCAGGCGTGTGCGGGTCTCGCCTCCAGCCCCTCCGCTGCTCACTGCTCTGCGAGGCCTCTCCTCCTTTACTCCCCTTGCCTGCTCGCCCTCTAGGCTGTCCCTTCCTTGGACGCCCCATCTCCATCCTTCCCTGCAGGCAGTGGGGTCACTCGGGCTTCTCCGGCGGGAGGGGCCGAGGCGAACCACCGCTGAGTAATGGAGCAGCCAGGGCGGCTCCTGGGCACGGTGCTCTCGGGCTGATCGCTGCACCGCACGACAAAGGTGGGTGGGTGGCTGCGGGGAAGAAAGGTCACAGGGGTAGCCTTCGTCCAGCCCTGAGGCCGGAGGTTGCCCACCTCTCACCCACAAACCAATCTGACCCTGCAGCTTCATGCCCCGGTTGCCGATCTATTCTCAGCTGCCCAGGAACGCCTTGGGTTTTGGACCTTGATGGTCTCAGCCATGTTCAACAAGTGAGTTTGCCTCCCCCCCCCAAGCCTTCTTGTGCAGGAAGCAGTGGAAAAAAACTGGTAGTTTCGAGCTAAGAAAAACCGGAGAGCAAAAAGTGAAATGTAAAAGTAGAGCCCCGCGACTGGAAACGACTATTTTTGTGGCCGCTGAAAACTAGCATTTAGAAAACAAGATTAAAAATAGAGGTGGTTGTCACAGCCTGCTTGGCCCCTTAGCAGCTTGAACACAGGAAACTGACTTATTCTCAGAGGAAGGATTTTTCTTTATTCAAACGGTGTTACAGGAAGTGCCTGCCCCTCCCCCGCACTTGCCAGTGCAGGGTTGGAGGCTCATGCCGTATATAAATCAGGTTCTGGGTGTTTAATCAGTTGACTCAGCTTGGAAGTCAGGCCCATAGACTGCCTTTGGGAGGAGTCCAGTGTGCCTTGAAAAGAAAAACCTTCAGACTTACTTTGTTTGGACAGGAATGTGTTTTCGAATACAAACTTGTATTTCCTGCCCCATCAGGCTCGCCTTGCTTATTCCTTTGGTGAAATGGTGGCATGAGAAGACTCCATTCTAGGAAGGTTTGATTTTGCAGTCTGGTGCAGGACCTCATTCATGGGCAGGTGGTGCCAAAAGGGCTGCAGGGTCAGGCCTGTGGCCCAGAAACGTCCACAGATGTGGAGGACACGGTCTGGTTATCTGCTGCCTTGGTTCTGGCAGATTTAAAGGTCTTCTCTTATATGCCCTTGACCAGAAAAAGGTTTCTTGAGGCTGCTTGGAGACAGCTTGGCAGGTCCAGGGGATGGTAGTTTCTTCACTGCTGGTAATGTTGGGAACCTTGTTACCATGGAGAGTGTACCTCTTGGGACTGGGGAAAGGGAGGTTAGCAGGTGAGAACTGAAATCCTAGCAAATGTGAGGCCCAGGGAGGGAAGAGGAACTAATATTTACTGCGTTCTTTCCATGTGCCAGGTATTGGACTTATATTCCATCATTGAATTTAAACTGTGGAACAGGCTTCTAGGAGTCAGAACAGAGGAGAGTAGGAATAGGGGTCGGTTGATTGGAATGGGGAAGTGCTGGGAGGAGGCCTGTCTGTATATGGAAGCGAGTCATGGTGGGAGTAACAGATGAAATAAAAACACGTGCTGTGCATCCATACGGACCCAGCTCTATCATGCCATAGCTATGTGACCTTGAGTGGTCAGACACTCTCTCAAGCTCAGCATCCTTCTCTGTTAAAAGGAGGAGAACCAAACTGCCTTATATGTCCCACGGGAGCATCACTGGACAACATCCCAGAAGGCTTCAGCGCAGTGCTAGGCACAGAGCTTGTGTCTTGAACACGAAACTTGGGTCTGTGGGTGGAATGCAGCAGGAGACTGTAAAAAGAGCTTGGCTTTGGAGTCAGGCGTACTTGGGCTTGAAGGCCAGCTGGACAGCTTAGCTTTGTGACCTTGGACAGGTCACTTCCCTTCTGAGCCTCAAATTCGTAGCCTTTAAGATAAGAATGATGACTCTGGTCACAGACTTGTTAGTGATAATAACATGTGAAAGCACTTGGCACTTGCAGGGAGACCTTGCAGGGATTTTAAAGTAGTCATTCCTTTTCTTCCTTGCTGAGCACCTTCTGGTCCTTGGGAGCAGGGATCTGTTCAGAGAAGTGGTTTTGAGTGATTTTTCGCTCTCTCCTTTCCCTGAGGAAAGCTGGCAATGTTTGGAGACATTTTGATTGTCAGGACGTGAGGGATCTAGTGGGTAGAGGCCAGGGATGCTGCTAAATATTGTCCGATGCACAGGCAGACCCCACGTTGATCATCTGGTCTAAAATGTCAGTAGTGCCATGGTTGAGAAACCCTGAGATAGAGGAGACTAGGGGTTGGGCAGGGCTCCCCGGCCTGCACAGCCTGTTCTCTGAAAGGGCCGGAGGCCAGCTTGATAAATGGTATGCCCTCGCAGCACCCTGTATCTCCTCACCTGCTACAGGCCCACTGCCCATCAACACCTAGCGTGCACGCTTGGGAGACTGGCAACAGTGAGGTGACTCTAAAGCAGTGGCTCTTTTTGCTCTTGTGGACTAGTTATCCTACTCTTCCAAATGATTTTGTCTGCCAACCATGCTGAAGAGTGAAGAGCACCAGCCAACTTTTCCTGTTAAGCCTCTGGGTCTCTGCTTATTGTTCTGGGACACCAAATTAGAAAAGAATTCTGTGGTAGAAGTTATCAGTGGCTGATGCTAGACTGGCCCTTGCCTGGCTGGGGAAGAGGAATTCCAAGGCTGAGAGATACGGGGTCTGTGGGTGGAGTGCAGCAGGCTCTGATCCACCTTCCACATTTGGGGGGTGGGCTGCCTCTCCAATGTGGAAGGTGGATCACAGCCCAGCAGGGGCCGGAGAGCTTGGCAGGAATGGCTTTGGAGTGGTGTGGGCACTGCTCAGTCAAGGTGGAGCCCACACTAGGGAAGACAGGATAGCTTTGCTCCAGAGCCCTGTCAGTTTATACGTGGGTATCGCTGCATGGTATCCGATTGGGCAGAAGCCATTCCTTGTTCTATTTTTGAGGCTTTTTGGCTGAAGCCAATGTTTCAGATGAGGAAATGAAAGTCGGCTAATGTAATTCAGTTTAAAATAGGTGTCACCTTTGGGGACCTAACCCAGATTATAAATTTCTTTTAAGTGCTGGCTATTCAGAACTCAGCAAAGAATCTGTCAGTATCGCAGCTGAGATTTGGGGGGTAGGGGACAGGGGGATCGGCTCATTTGTTGGCAAAGGTTCTTTTAGATTAATAAATCTCCCTCCTGGTAGCAGTTGGGACCTCACTGGCCTGGGGGAGGTCTTAGAAGGTAAAAGTTTTAGCACATCTTAATTTCTTTATTGGTTTAACTGATACAAAACATTGGATTGAGAGTGAGAAGACCTTGGTTTGTGCCTTTGTTCTTCCCTTTTGAGAATAAGGTGAGATTGATAACCTCACATGGTGGTTGTTAGTATCAAGTAGGGCAGGTACAGGGACAGTACCGGTACAGAGCAGGTGCAAGCAACTCAAGATTTTGCTGTAAGATACCCCTTGAGGGCAATTGCTTTGCTGCTACCTTCCAGGAATGGAGGGAGGGTGTGTCCAAACTTGCTTTGAGCCCTAGCTGGTTTGGCTCAGGGGATAGAGCATCAGCCTGTGGACTGAAGGTTCCTGGGTTTGATTCTGGTCAAGGGTGCATGCCCGGGTTTGGGGCTCGATCCCCAGGAGGGGGCGTACAGGAGGCAGCCGATCAATGCTTCTCTCTCATCATTGATGTTTCTATTTATCCCTACCCCTTCCTCTCTGAAATCAATCAATCAATCAATACATAAAATAAGAATCCTATTTCCTTTAAAAAACTTGCTTTGAGGGGGAATGTTTAGGGGATGGCAGAAGGAGTATGCAGCGTTGGCAGAGGTGTCCTCCACCCTCTGTGTGGCTCAGGGAGGCTACAGGCTACCATCTAAACAGCCTCTGTGTGCCCACCTTCAAGCCTCAGTGGGAGGTGGTTGGATGGGATAAGATGCCAGTTGACTTCCCACTTGACCTGTTTTTGAGATGAGTTCATTAATAAAGGCATGGACATGCTCAAGCCTAGCCGTCCTTAACTGGTGGTGATGCACAGGGGACATGCTTCGGGCGTTTCATGCAGCCCTGCGGAATTCTCCCGTCAACACCAAGAATCAAGCTGTGAAGGTAAATGGGGTTGCGCTGCAGCTCTGCTGGGTGGTGTTGGGACCTGGGCTATGGTTGTCCGTTGTCTCCAGCTGAGCGTGAGCTGCCTGGGGCTCTGGACAGTGTCTGTTCCATCTCTGCATCAGTGAGTATCTGCCAAGGGAGTGAGTTGGCACTGGCAGTGCTTCCACGGAAGCCTCCTGGTGTTCCTGACATCAAAGCTATCAGTGTTTATAGTAAAAGCTCCCCAAAGAAACTGTTCACTCCTCCCCAGAGCCTCATGGGGTGAGAAGTCAGCCCAGCCCTTGCTGATTAGCAGAACTATAAATTAGCTTGCCATGTGAGACTTATCGGTGGTTAAGCTTTTATAGGCTATTGAATAGGCTTTATTTGCCTAAGGATTTTCAGTGCTTTTTAAGATTTCCTGCCTTTTACAAACTAGGTGAGAAGATACAGTTGTGCTTATTGCATCTCTGAGTCTAACATTTCATCACTGAAGCTAACATTTGGTCCAGGGAAAGGGGTTTCCAAAGCTGGGATTTTGCCCTTTTGTGGCTCGGGATAGAGCATCAGCCTGTGGACTGAAGGGTGTGTACAATGGCTGCACCTCTCAAACATGGAAGGGAATGGCCCCTCTATTACTGGGGTGAGCACAGAGGGAAGCTGCAGACAGATAAACTTGTTTTTAAAAAAACAGATCTCCACCATTGTGATCCTGTGGATTCTAAGGCCTTGCTGGTGTCATCGAAAGTAGTGATATTTGCCCTGACCGGTGTCCTCAGTGGTTAGAACATCAGCCTGTGCACTGGAGGGTCACGGGTTTGATTCTGGTTAAGGGCACATACCTGGGTTGCAGGTTCGATCCTTCACCAGGTCAGGTTGCGTGCGAGAGACAACCAATTGATGTCTCTCCCCGCCTCCTCTCCCTCGATCCCTTTCCTTCCATTCTCTAGAAATCAATGGAAAAAAATATTCTCCTCCAGTGAGGATTAAAAAAAAAAATAGTAGTGATGTTTCTCCCCAGTAAAGTAGTTTTTCTCCTCCCTCCAAAATAATGGAATAACTTATTGACATAAATAAGGGATACTTTGAAATTTAAGTCAACAAAAGAATTTCTCCCCACTATTTTTTTAACCATCCCAGACGGATTAGAAATTATGCAGTTTCAGGTGAGTTCATACCGCTTGGTTTGGTGTTTCTGTGCCAGCAGTGGGGGGCCTGGATGTGTTGGGCTGTGGCTTGGCCTCACTCCTTTTCTCTTTCCTCTGTAGGAACGAGCCCAGGGTGTGGTTCTGAAAGTACTTACAAATTTTAAGAGCAGCGAGATTGAGCAGGCTGTGCAATCACTGGACAAAAATGGCATTGACTTGCTAATGAAGTACATTTATAAAGGGTTTGAGAAGCCCACAGAAAATAGCAGTGCAGTGTTACTCCAGTGGCATGAAAAGGTATGTGAACACACTGCCCGTGCAGGCAGCCCACGGACTCCCCCCCTTCGGGTTCAGATTAGCAGGTTAGATGTTCCAAAACAAACCTAGTAAGCTCTGATAGGCATATGAGAACAAGGGGCCAAACTGGGACATTTGATCACTTACCTCTGCCCAAAAAGCATCGGTAGGGATCCACTGTCTCTGGTAATCACAGTTGCTTTAGCTGCTGAGGTATGCCAGGCAGGTCATGGGGCAGGTGACTTGGCATGGTAAGGTAGATGAGGAGTCCCAGATGGAGGCAGGCAGGCTTCTGGTGGCTGGGGCTTCATAATACTTTTTGCTTTGGTGGAAGTGGAGGTGGTGGTGGTGATGGTAGGGGTGCTTGGGAAGGCAGGCTGTGCCCTCCAGCTAGCGCTAAGGGCTTCCTGCTCTGGCCTCAGCCTCACCAGGCCAGAGTGAGCAGAGGCAGAAACCTTCACAGTCACTTTAAAGGGCCTTCATCCACCTGCAGCAGGAAAAGCTGCCTGTCCTTTGCTAGGGTTGGTACAAGAGCAGGCTTTTCGCCAAGCCTGTGTCTTGCCTATATGTCACTGTCCCACCATCACAGGAGACCAGGCTCTCACTGCTAGGGTTGGTACAAGAGCAGGCTTTTCGCCAAGCCTATATGTCCCTGTCCCCGCACCCTGTAGACCTACAGGAAGCACGCCCACCATCACAGGAGACCAGGCTCTCACCAACATCCTTCCTGAATGCTCCATTGTGTTTTAAGGGAGTGATCCTCTCACTGAGGGGTCAGTCATTCGGCAGCTTTGGTGCTGGGCTAGGGTTGTGGCCTTGATCCTGCTGATGGGTATGGTGCCTGCTCAGCAAGAAAGTGAGGCCCTTGGTTTAGTATGTGGGGGCAGCTGTGGTGCTTGGGGAAGTGAGCAAGCCCTCTGCATGGTATCAAGGCCAGGCCTTTTGGGCCCTGTAAGGCAACTTGGTGCTCAGCCCTATTGACATTTCTAATGATGGCTCCTCGAGGTAGCTCTGATGGGCATGTGTCAGTTCAAGTGCCTAGAGCAGTGCCAGCAGGCTGGAAACCATGACCTTGTCAAAGGGGAAATTTGGGGGGCTCTGTTGTGTGTGTGCTTGGTAACAGTGTTCTCAAGCCCAGTGCTGCCTAAAGAGTAACTCCTGTGCCTTGGCTCCAGGACAGGGCTGTTATCTTCTCCTAACTGCCTGTGCTCTTGCCAGAATCCTTTTCTGGGATCTGTGACATAATGATCTGGGTTAGGGAGTGCATCATCCCCTCTCCCCTGGCAAGCCAGGTTTCCCCTTGTCCACCTGGGTTCATTTGACACGTTTCCTTTTCCTGCCCCCACAGGCATTAGCAGTAGGAGGACTAGGCTCCATTATAAGAGTTCTTACAGCAAGAAAGACTGTTTAAAAAAAAAAAAAGACTCATGTTACCTTGAGAAGAATTTTGGATGCACAGGCTGGTGAAGAAGGAATTGACAATGGACCATCTTCCTAGGAACTCCCAACTATTTCAGGACATGCATCCGCTGAAGTGTATTTTATTTTCAAGGTGGAGGGAGAAATTGTCTTACTGTTTCCTAAATCCTTTTGCAGGATCTGATAGTCTATGCCTTTGTCCACGAATAATGCAGAACTGACATTGTGACTGTCTGCCAGAGTGGCTGGCCAGTGTTGGTCAGGTGTCCCTGTGTGCACTGCCTGTTTAAAACGGGGAGGGATGCTTTGGGCAGGTACAGATCCAAGGGCTGCGGTGGAAGGGAGAGCTTGTGTTTCTGAATTGGAAACCCCCGGAGGGTTTGTACAGACATCCCATCCTCCCAGAAGGCGGGCTCTCTTGGGTTCATTGTAAAGTGCCTGCTGCATCAATAAAGCTCTTGGCTTATTAGTATATACTTTGCAGTGTGTTTCATATATGTTTAAAAAAAAAAAAAAGGTTAGTGAATGGGATGGTAATGAATGAGGGGTTGACTATTCTGGAAACTCCCCAGGAAGCAAGCATGGCAATCCAGCCTCTTGCACAGCAGTACCTCAAGCCTGGGCTACAGTGCTACTGGCTGCTATGGAGAGATGTTTTGCTGAATAAGTATTTATTGTTTTTACTCTTTTGATTTGTATGTAATTTGGAGCTTATTTAATAAAGTGCCAAACATTCAATAATTAACCTAGGCTTTAAAAAGTCTTTAGTTTGTGTGACTGCACTCGAGACTTGAGAGTAGGCCTCGGACAGGCCTGGTCTCCATCTCCTGACACTGGATTTGGCTGTGTGATAGCAACATTCTTATCGTGAAGTTGACAAGTTCTCATTAAAGGATTAAAAGCTAGAAACAGGTAGCAATCAACCTACAAATATAAAAACCCATTTTGTTCCCTATAGCTAATAACAATGAGCTTTTTTGAAGTGAAAGATTCTTACCTTTTTAGCACACATGACTAGTCTACATTCTGTTGAAGGTAAGGACCCCATTCATGGTCTGAAGCTCTCCCCAGTCGTGTGGGCCTTGGAGATAGACGTTGACCAAAGCACACAATCCTCCCAAATCCTGCAGAACCCCACCATTCTTGGGAGGTAGGCCTAGGCTGCTGGCTTGTTAAATTACGTATATTTATTCACCCAGACCCAGTCTGCGGAGGTTCTTCCTGAAAGACAAATGCTCTGTAGCCCTTGAAGTATATGAGACACAATGTACTAGATTTAGTAAGTCAAAGAAATATTGACACACCATATCAAGTAAAACCCACTGTAGTTGCTTCTGGATTGAAGAGCTTTAATCAAAAAGTATATTGCACCACAAATGACTTTTCTACAGCAGTCTTAGAGATAATATAATTCCTATTTACAACATGGAGGGAGAGAGAGCCAGATCCAATGCTCATATAAAGGGCCATGCATATATATATAT